CCGGCACCACGTTCCGGCACCACGTTCCGGCACCACGTTCCGGCACCGCTCCTCCCGGCCGCCCCCACTCACCCGGAGGTTGGCCCTCAGGCCGGCGGCCTTGGCGATCTGTTGCAGCTCAACGTACTTCAGCGCGTCTAAAGACTGAATCTGTGAGGAGAGCGCCATTATTACTCCACTACCAACCGCCACTCTTCGAATCTCGCGCTTAACCGACACGGAGCGCCTTGCTCCCGCCTCCACCGTTCGAACTTGCCCGCCGCGGCCGGCCATTGGCCGGGACAGGTGAGGGAGGCGGGCTTAGAGGCACAGGAATCGGCCAATGCTGCTGTGGCCACCAGCGTGCTGTTTTTCAGTCACGATTGGCGCAGGCTGCTCGGGAAATCCCCGCCCTCTACTGCTTGATTGGGCGCCAGAACGAGGCGCCGCAGCCCACCTCCCAATGGCCCCGTGCTGCGAGAATTGACGTCGCTATTGCCCAGTAACAGCGCTCCCATGGCGAGGCCGAGGAGGCGGGCGGTGCGCTTCAGCGCCGGACGGGCGGAGATGGCGGTGCGGAGGCAGCTGCGACGATTCTTCGAAGAGCCGCAGATCCGCGGCACGATCGTGGTGGAGCGGCCGCTCTCCTCTGAGCCTCCTCCGGCTCCTGCTCCGGCTTCAGAGGTGCCGCAGTGCTACGAGCTGCGAGCGGAGGACTGCGCCGTGTTCCAGTGCCGCGGGTGCTGGGCGGTGCTGGGCGACTCGCTGCATCTGTGCGCGCTGGAGGAGCAGCGCCTCGGCCTCGTCGTCTGCCTCAGTCAGTGCTGCGGGCCGGGCTGGGGCTGGTTCCGCCTCCGCGCGCTGCTTCTCCACGCGCTTCTCCTCTCTCCTCAGGAGTCACCAGCAACGTGCTGTGCGAGGAGGAGCTGATGGTCGGCCTGGAGGGAGCCCTGACGGGATGGTGCGTAGCAGCGCCCTTACGTCACTTTGGAGTCTCAGAGCCTAAAGCGTTCCGTGCGATGTGCTGTGGATTTAATCTCTCCTTTCAACTTTGATTATTACAGAGGTTTTCCACGCCTGTTTGAATCTCCGCTTAATCTGTGTCCTCTGACAAGTGAGAAGCAGTATCTATGGTTTCAGAAGCTTTTATTTAATAATAGAATTGTTCTGCTTTTCCTTTTAGTGCTTACAACACGTTGTCTTGTCAGTCGTGTGGTACAGTTGTGGGCTTTGTTCTCTATTCTGCCTTCAGAGACCTGACCCATCTCCGAGGCTTCTTCTGTTTCTTCAAGAAAAGCATCTTCTGGTGGGTGCTCTGCCCAGTGTTTTGACGGTCAGGGATTTCATGGCAATTTGCAACTTATTCCAGCACGAATACAGCACACACATACCTAACAAAGGCTGCTTTATTGAGAGCATCACTGGGATTTTAATGTTCTGTTCTCACTTTGTGTCGTCATGATTCCATTCGATTTACCTTATACTTTCTGAGTCTCCTCACATCAAAGTTTAAATTCAGCTATTTGTGGTACTGAGATCTCCTTCAGTTCCAGATCCACCTAACTAACATCAGAGATAAAACAGGTCTGCGATAGATGGGCCTGATTATAGAACCACAGAATTGTTTGAGTTGGAAGGGGCCTTTACAGGCCTTCTCGTCATCTAGTCCAACTCCCCTGCTATGAACAGGGACACCTGCAGCTAGAGCAGGGTGCTCAGAGCCTGGTCCAGCCTGATCTTGAATGTCTCCAGGATCAGGGCACCTACTTCAGCTCTGGGGAACCTGTTCCAGTGCCTCACTAGCTGGTACTGAGGGGATTTTATGATTTGGAAGTAAATGTGTTATGGTTTTTAATATTTTCATTATCTAGGTACTTTAGGGAAGTACTTTAGGGAAGAGTTTTATCTGCTTTAAAATCAGCTCAAATAGTCTGTCTAAATGAATGCAACTACTTGTTTTCAACTGTTTTTCTTGTTTTTCACATTCCCCATTTGTTTTCCAGTTATCTCTTAAAAAGCAAAATGATAATAGAAGCTTCTAAGGTGAAATTTCCTGCTGTGACCCTAAAGGATCAAATAGAGAAAGTAAGGTTTCCGCATGACTTTGTATGAAAATAGCAAGAAATACTTTTTGATATCAGTATTTTTGGCTAACTAAAATACTTCATAATATTATTTTATCTGTAACACATATCAAGTTCTAGCTAATTTTCTGACAAAAGTGTGGTGTTTCTTTTTTTAGTGAATGTGTATGTGTAATTTTGCTACCCAAATGTTGTCAAGAGGGAAGGGTACGTACTTCTCTACATGTTGAAAGCAAAACAGAAAATCCTTTTTAAATAAAACTTTCCCTAAATATTGCTAGCTGTGTTGTTCCTAGAATTGAAAAGTCACTGTTGAAGAATAAAAAACACGTATACAAATTTGTCAAATTGAAAGGGATTCCATTATTTTTATATGGGAACTGACACTAAAATGCACAAATGTCATCCAGGCGTAAGTTTCCCTGAAGCTGAAATAGATCATTCTGAGGTAAAAGTATGAGTGCTTCATTGCAAACACGCGTTGAGGGATTTTGGAAAAGTTGTATGTTGATTAGAGCGAGTGTTGGACTCTAGTCTTTGCTTTTTAAAATATATCTGAAAGATATATCTTAAAAGATGTAAAGATGAGATAAAAGCTATAAAGATATATCTTGCCTACAGTACTTTTCATGTGTTAACTTAAGCCCCAAACTCTAGAAATGGCATTTTTGAAGGGTTGTCTTAAACTGATGATGATGCCATCTCCAGATTTTGTAAAGCAGAATCATAGTCTATGTAAAAAAACATGTAATGAGTTAACTAGAAAATACTGCCCTGATCACAGCAACGCTTCAGCAGCTCTTCAAGTGGAACGTTTCCGTGCGTCTCTGACACACTAATTGTGCTGGCCCACAATCATTTCTTTCTAGCACAGGTTTCTGATTTGAGTCCTGATTAGTTTTGGCTTTTCTAGACATAGAACATAAAGTCCAGCATCATTTTCCATTTTGAAAGCCATCTGCGCTTTAGCCACTGAAAGTGGGATGCATATCATTGAACATTAAACATCCAGAACAGTTTTCTCTAATCTTGCAACTCCCATCTCTCTTTTTTCTTCTTTTTTTCTAGCTGAAAGAAAGCCTTGTGATGACACACATGCGCATCGAATTGCTGATGAAGAAGGTGGAGCAACTGAAACAAAATAATGTGGCAGAAAACAAAGCTCTGCATCACATGGAATTGTCCTAATGCCAGGATATGCAGTAGTCGATACCAAGAAATATTATGCCATTTTGAAGAACTACTGGAGTCGTTTCTGCAGCTCTGCTAAGTTTCATCATCTAGCATGAATGATTTACTCGTGCAGCATATAATTCTCTAAGACTGAACTTTGGTTGTGATTCTCCA